CTTAAGTGGAATGAAAAAATATTTTAACGTGATCCTTTCAATAAAAACATCATAAAATGCATCATAAATCATTTTGATTAAAGTTCGTCTTATTTCTCTATAAACCCACTAAAAAATTTGCCGGCGGCTATGAAAGAAGGCTTTGGTCTACTAGAGAATAAATATCCCCACGAGTTTTACTAAACTCAGGGCCCGCACAAATCGGGCACATTTTATTCATATCACATTTGCGAAGAACATACCACGAATATATCAACTTCAGCCTAACATCTACATATTAGAAGATGTATAGTATATTTATATATATATATATATATATATATATATATATATTAGGGTGGTCCTTAATACGGACATTCGAATGGCTCAAATGGTTCCAAATAGATAAAAAACAATACTCTAAAAGTATTAGCTCTTAATATTGTCTTTTAGATAAAGCGCAATTCAATCAAAGTTTTGTATGGAAATAGCATGAAAATATTTTCAAAACTTTTGCAGAGCGTCAAATTATCAATAAAAAATGACTCAAATTTTCACTTTTAGTTCATTTGTCGCTAAGTTATACCTAAATATTTTTTTTTTCAATTTTCAAAATTTTTTCCATGCCGTTTCCATACAAAGTTTGATATACTATAAATTTAAAATATTCAAAATTAATTAACTTTGAAATTTTTATTTTCCCGAAGAGTTTGTTTTTATTAAAAATTCCGATTTGCTAATTTTGTTACTTTCTCGACGTTACAAGCCATTCTGAATGGAATGAGAATTTTTTTGGAAAAGTGCGTGTGTGTGTGGGGGGGGGGGGTTGTGTGTGAACTGATTTTTTACCTTAAATCGAAATTTTTGAAAAAAACTGGACCGATTTCAAAAATTTAAAAGCCTTTCGATACATCTCGATGACTATTGTTTAACAGTTTGAGCGACGATCGTCTGAGCCGTTTTTTCGTAAAAAGCAGAAATAATAAAAATCTGTCGTCCACGTTTTAGTACGCAATTTTAAATCAATTTTAAAAAATTGATTGAGCAAAAACGGTTCTATAGGTATTGGTTTAGAATCGCCCTGATTAGTTTTGGACAAGAATCGGCCGAGCCGTTTCTTCGTAATTACCCGTTGAAATTTTTTTTTCGATGAGTTTTTTCATGTTGAATCATGGTCTAAAGCACAAACTAACATTTCATGCCCTACGGTAAGTAGCTTAATTTTAAAAATTCATCAAATATTGAAAAAAAATATTTTTTATATTTAGCTTTTGTGATGTGATGAGTCAAAATAAAATATGATAAATTTAACAGCATTTTTTTAAATCAGCGGGAAAATGCGTCTACAAAACTTCTCTAGTTGTGTAAAAAATGTTACTATTAGTTGAAATCATTAAATAATATCAGGGGCTACGTACATGATATATGTAATTGTACAAACTAAAATTTTATTTAATTATCTAAATCTCAATTTCAGTTGATTAAGTCAATTGTTACAGATTTTGGGAAGTTCATGCAACTTGCTTTTAGGCAAAATGACACTTTCAGCTAGTTAACTTCCCGTAGGGTAAGTTATAGTAATCGCAAAAAAATCGAAAATGAAAATTTTTCATTCATTTTTCAATCATTACGTTTCAGAGGTTTCTGAGCATTTTGGCATACCTTAGAAAAAATGGATGTGTGTGTGTATGTGTGCGTGGATACAAATTTTTATCGACGATTTTGGGAACACGGTTCAACCGATTTCAATTATATAAAAAACATTCAATTGTTGTTGATAAGGAGATGTGGTGATTAGTTTTTGGCATAGGCAGGTCTTGCCGTTTCGAAGATACTGCGCAAAAAGTGCCACAAATGGTAACTTAGTTTTTAAGAGAATGGAGCGTTTGATTTCAATAATTTAAAAAACATTTTACTTGCATTGACAAGATGAAGAACTGTTTAAATTTTCATGATGGCAGGTCTAGCAGTTTCGGAGATCTAGCAAAAAAGTAAAAAAAATAGCCATTTGGCGGTCAAAAATGATCATTAGACATAATATGCACTTTAAATTATAAGATATTTGATAGAGCTTTTAACAATAAGTATAAATTTTGTTTACATTCCTATAGGTTCCGTACCAATGTTTACATGTTAGACGGCGACGCGGCGCTTACGCGCTTCGATATGTCGTCTCTATGCAGTTAAAGCAGTACGATTGCTTTGAAAATAAGTTCAGAATTTCTAAAATATTTCAAAATAAAGAAAACATTTTTTTTTTCAAAAAGTCTTCTAAAAAAGTAAATTTTTGTCAAAAATGTATAGTTTCTCAAAAATCTATTTTTTTCCAAATAATTTTTGATACGGCAAGTTCCAGCAATTTGCCTTAAAGCACGATGCCATGCGCCCCACTAGTTTTTCTATTTATCTTCGATGAGCATTTGGTCACATACATAATATAGAGATAGCTTTCACTTATAATAATAGACCTAATAATGCACGACGCTCTGTAAATATTTCTGTACATAATGGAATACATGTAGTTCACACGAAATGTTGAACAATGGTCTGCAGTATTATAAAATAAAGTCGATAGTTTCAGACATGATAAAGAGTTTTGGAGTTATTATTTGTGACATGACTGTAGTTCATATTGCTGGTTTGCTCTTCAGTTCGGTAGCTATTTTCAAGAATTTAACATGGGAAAGAGTTCAAGGCATGCACGAGCGCAGTATCTTTGATGTATCGTTCTCATGTAATATGTAAACCGCGGTTAAATGTCTGATACATAAACATTACCTAGTAATATACCGATCGTATGTGCTTACGTTTACCTATATAAATTTATAGGAATCAATATAACGTTATGCGAAATCGAAATTTCACCGATATCGTTTTTTACCCATATTACATATTATTACGTTTTGGCTTATCTACATAATATTTTGCAGAGAGTATACAATCTTGAATATTCATATTGCTTTTGGGGGTTTATGGTAAATGAATAAATTTTTAAGCGTCGTTGTTGATATGTACTAAAATATTTTTAAACCATTTTTTTATGTAACTTCCTGAACCAAAAATAGTTTTGAGATATTCTCTAAGCTTTTCCTGAATATGTCGCGTAAGAAATCAACGTTTTTTGTATTTATATTTGGCTTAAGTCTTATAAAAAATCTTCACATAATTATGTCATGATAAAATTATTAACTTTTTGTCGACGATTTCGCGAACTCGCACCGATCGATTTGAATAATTCAAAAAAACATTCGATTCATTTTGATAGCGATACATGCTGATTATTTTTTGGCAAAGGCAGGTCTAGCCGTTTCGGAGATACGGGGCAAAAAGTGCCAAAAATAGTATTTCAGTTTTTGAGATAACGGAGCGTCCGATTTAAATAATTCAAAAAATTATTATCTTGTATTGATGAAGTGAACAACTGGTAAAATTTTTGTATAGACAAGTCCAGCGTCTCCGGAAATCCAATAAAAAAAATAAAAAATAATGCCATTTGGCGGTCAAAAATGATCATTACACATATATGTATTGTATCATCAAGTATTTTATAAAATTATAATAATACATATAAATTTTGTATACATTTATATGGGTTCCGTACCAATGTTTACACAACTACGCGGCGCTTACGCGCTTTGATATTTCGACTGCAAATCAGCTAAGCGATTGCTTAAAAAAAATATTCAAAATTTTCAAAAAAAAATCTAAATACAAAAAAGTAAACTATAAAGAAATCGAATTATTCAAACAAGTCAATTTTTTTCAAAAATTTCGAAATATCTCAAAAATCGATTTTTTTTTTAATTTAGTTGTAGGCACGGAAAGTTCCAGCAATGTGCCTTAAGGCGCGATGCCATGCACCAACAGTTTTTTTTTTCATTACATACTAAATTTAAATATATAAACAATGATTTTGGCTTAGAGTTTTCTACAATAAATACCAGACTTATAAGAATAATTTCAATTGTGTTTTGTAAAGATTTATTTTTTCGTAAAGAATGAAGAGTAATTTTGATAGCAGTAAAATATCTAACAAATAATATATGTAAATGTCATTGATGTTTCAAAAGTAAGTTATAAATATACAAGGTGTCCATAAACTCAACGTCAAGCCGGAAGGGTGTATTGATCACAACTATCATTAAAAAATAGAAACATGATTTTTCTCCAGTAATTTGATAATATAGTAAGTTTTCAAGTAAGATGTAATTATGTGACCGTTTTTTGGATATTGTGGTTAAATCTAAGTTAATTTTGTTAATTTAAACTTAGAATCGTAATAATATTTGAAGGACCACAGTCAAAAATATTGACTTACAAAAAAACTCAGTATAAAGATGAAATTAATTTGCATTAATTCGTAACATTCTCTTGCTTCAAATTATTGAAAAAAGGAGTATATTTGGTTTTAAACTTAGCCCACAGTTATTATATTTATCTTAATTTCAAAATCTTGTGATTCGATGTATCAATTGAATTTAAAAATTGTGTAGTAATAGCGTAGTGTTAACGAGTGTATTTTTGTAATAACTAGGTGTTAAGTTCATGTTAACTGTTCATATTTTTTAGTTATACAATTTGAGTTATTCCAATATATTATTTCCAATTGACGTAGACCCAAAATAAAGTTGTGATTATTTCACCACAGAGCTAAAGTTATAGTAAACGCAAAAAAATCGTATGTGTGTGTCTGTGCTGGGCATGCGTATATATATTAAAAATTCTCAGTGTTTTGACAATTCATAATAAAAACAATATCTAATATTTTCTAGAAGGCGTGGATTGAAAACAAAAGTTGTGAACAAATTAAATTCTTAAATTTAAAGTGATGTAACTTAAAAAAACATTTAATCCGGTTTACTTCCATAGTGCTGGTTTCTAAATTATTTGAGTATTCAACAAAGTGTCCGGGTACGTAAAAATAAACATATCATCGTCTTAGAAAAACGATAGAACTCGTTGAATTTCTCATAAAATGATTTAGTTGCACATTTAGTAAGTATAAACGTGTTATAGATAAAATGGACGCCATCAAGAAGTTAGCCGATGGCAATAGGAGCATGCAAGGAGAACTACAGGAAATGCTGAACCTTATAGAGAAGAGCAGGGCACGACTGAATCGACTCAGAAAATCGCTAACTGCTGCCCCTGCAAAACACTTGTCATGTGGCGATAACAGTAAATCTACTCACTTAGAATCTAATGTACAGCATTCCGAAGGAAGTCCCTTGATGCAAAGTAACCCTGTTCCAGACCCTGTTCTTACAGGAGTAACCAAAAGAATTACCGTCAACGGAGTTCCTCAAGTTTCATATATGAAACTTGAGGAATTTGAATCCATTCCTTATTATCTACGAGGCAGGCTGCGTATTGAAACAATTAATGATTTTATTGAGCTGATCAATAACGCTGCTTACTATAAATACAAGCTATTGAAATTTCCTAGGCACGAAGTGCCCAGATACAAACTACACGAATATAGCGAGTACAAAAGGTTGGAGGCGGATAATGAAAATGGTGTTAAATTTATAATGTCCAGTGACATTGGTGTGAATCCTCTCGATAAGCAGACGAAAACATTTTTTGCCATGTTACGCCATGTAAAGCGGATTAAGGAAATAAGAAATGGAGGGGTAACAAAAATCTGTTTTCTTTAATGCTGATATGCTAATAATTTAAAAATTGTGTTGTAATAACTGGGTTTTAAGTTCATGTTAACTGTTCATATTTCTTAGTTATACAATTTGAGTTATTCCACTATATTATTTCCAATTGACATAGACCCATAATATAGTTGTGATTAATTCATCACTGTAGCTTTATATAATAATCTTCAGATAAATTAGTTGTTCATATCCACACTTCCAAGGAACAAGTTTGTATTTCTTTTGAAAATGTTCATAATTTTAAATAAATATTATTTGTAATATGATATATTTTTTTTCTTTCATAATCAAAACAAAAAAATATAAATTAAGGAAAGCATTTTATCAGGCCTCTTATTAACTCATGCGTGAAATTGTTATTCAATTTTAATATTGTATTTTAATTATAAACAGCGATAATCATATTTGTAATTCCAAAGTACAAATAAAGTATAAATAAGTTTTTATTAAATTATTAAATTAATTTTATTGGGTTTCAATATTTTATTAAGTGGAAAAATATAATAATACATAAGCTGTGGAACTAAATGATTTTGAATTTAAATGAAATGAAATAATTAAGTGGAGACATTTACGTGCATATTTAAGATATTATTAATATTTTATCACATCTAAATAAGACTGTTATTGTTATCAAATTTACTTATACTAATAGTAGTAGTAGTAGTAGTAGTAATAGTAGTAATGAAACTACTAGGATTTCAATGGATTTTATTTTAAACTAGCTGTACTCGTTCACTCTTTGCCGTGATTTAGTTTACATTAAAAAGTTGAACAAAGATGTGTATTTGTTACACTTAGTTTAACGTTACTACTATCTGTTCAACAATTTACCAATTCAATAATTTGTCTACGAATTTACCTATAAATTTGCTAATCAATCTATCAGTTTACCGACTTACCAATTTACCTGTCGACCTATTTACCTATTAACCCAATTCACATGTCTACCAATTTACCTGTCAACCTCTTTATCCGTCTTGTTATTTGTCTATTAACCAGTTGTCCTGTCTACCATTTTACACATCCTCCAATTTACCTGGCCACCAGCTATCCAAAAATTATCTTTTTACCAATTCACCTGTCTATCAATTTACCTGTCAACCAATTTATCTATTGACCTGTTTATCAATACGCCATTCTACCTGTCAACCAATTTACCTGCTTTCCAATCTTACCTGTCACCCGTTCTAAATATCTACCAATTAACCTGTTCAATAATTTATCTGTTGAATAATTAACCTGTTTAACAATTTGTCTACTTATTTACCTATCAACCTGTTTATCAATCTACCATTTTACCGGCCTACAAATTCACCTGTAATCCGGTTCTATATGTCTACGAATTAACCTGTCAACATGTTTATTTGTCTACATATTCGTCTATCTACCAGCTCTCTACATTTTACATATCCTACCATTTATCTGTCCACCAGATAACCTTTGTAAATTCTCTAAATCACCTTATTTATTTACGCATTATTAAAAAATTGAAGCTCAAATTGATTCTATGTTTTAGTTAAAAAACGTTTGTATGTGAAAAAGAAAAAAGCCGTTTTTAGGGTTTTCCCGGCAATTATTCGATTTTTTCTCGCCGTAAGAACTATCCTTGAACTTCAAGAAACATTTTAAGAAAAATAACTAAATTGGTTCAGGAGTTGTTGAGTTATGCGCTTACCAACACATTTTGCGATTTATTTTTATATATAAGACAGAAATGAATGATAATAAAATTAAAAATAATATGTACAAATGCCAAAAGGACGTTTAATTAGTTAAAAATGACATCTTTGAAGTCTAAATAGAATTTTCTACTTTCAATAGTCTCTAATTGTACTTTTCAACTACAATTAAAAACTCAATGATCCATAACACGTCAAACATAATATGACCTTAGGGCATTATTTTCAATATTCTCTTCCCTGAAATCGCAGCAGCATTGTGGACTGGCCTCACATGTGCTCGAGTGAAAATGTCACCGAGACTCTTATAAAATATTATTTTTCTCCCCGTCCATTGAGAGAGCGTGCTCGTAGCTCGAAAATAAATAGAAATATGTAAGTGCTACATTATACATCGGCTTAGTTCTTAAGACGCACATGATGGATCACTTCGGAACGACCAGCCAAGAGTTCGTTGTATAATCATATTAGGTGTGTATAATGCGGAAGGCGAATGAAGGCATACGTAATGTGTAATACGAAAATCGCATGTCTAAGAGCCCATGAGAAATGGGGAGAAAATTCGGACAAAATACCTACGGCGGGGAAAGGAACAGGCAAAGACAGTCAAGTGGACACAGAGGAAACACTTTTATGGTGTGCAGACACATTTTAAATTGCTCGATTTTTATGAACACGAAATGAACTAGTGATGTCCAAAAATGTGCCTTAAGGGAGTATTCTAGTCTAGAGCGATGAATTTTAGGTAATTTTTGAAGTGTCTATACCTAGTAGACACGCCGCTGGGTGTTGCTACTATCTTCTTGTTTATATTATGTGATAATTATTGTTAGCAATCTCTGCTTAATGTTAATGAATATGTAAAACAGATTGCAGAATAAATTAAATAAAAAAAAAATTTTAAAGTGTCGTAAAAGAAAGCAATGAATGTTTTTACTATCCATTTTTTACCACTTGTTTATTAATATTATTAAAATACAAAACAAAAATAAAAAAATAAAAAAGTTGAAAATTGTAAAAACTGGCAGCTGATGAAGTGGGTGGTCTCAAAAAATTGGCACCTCAGTCTTGACATGATTTCAGCCCTCCTAGCCATCGGAAATGCAAAAAATAAAAAGAATATTAATCTACAATGATGTCGCAATCGTCCGAACGAGCGATGAGTAAAAAAAAAATTTATACAAATTGGGGACTGTTTGAAAAAAAGTGTTTTTTTACTGTTTTTTGTTTCTCGAATTTTTTAAAAATAGTAAAAATTTGAGGATAATCCTACTTCGGGCTATGGATAGGTCTATAAACAAAACTCTCTGAACATTTCAAGTGGATCGGTCGATTAAAACTCGAGAAATCGTGTCAACAGTACTGAAAAAGTCTGTTCTGACAATGAGAAAAACGCATTTAAAGTTTTGCGTGAAGCCAAACCAGTATGGAGACCGAGTCAGTAAAATGCCTATATCTCCGAAAGTAATTCAAATTTTCAAAAACCTTTTCGTACCCATATTCTTAGATAGTTAAACTTTGAAAATATGAAATAAAAAAATCGATTTTTTGAATTTCTACATTAGAATATCCCCTTAAACCAAACTGCTGCATTCTTCTGCTCACAAAAAAACTGGAGAAAATTTGTTCGCGTAGAAAGGCAACAGAAAAACGAGAGAGCAGAGAAGAGTCAATATATTGTCCTAGGTATATGCATCATAATAATAATAAATAGTAGACCGCCCTAAGACAGGTCTATGGTACGAGATCCCCACAATTTCAATGATATCTTACCCCTCCCATGTTTATTATTCCCGATACCGTTTTATAACCATTAATTATTGACTAATGATGACTTTTTATTCATTTTTCTGAATTTTCTTTTCCAAACTTCTGCTTCGAAGCTTTCTGGTCCTGTACTTCGACTTTCAATTTCCTGTATTTCCTCTTTCCATCAACCATCTGCATTTTCTTCTTACCATTATTTTCAGTCCTTTCATTTTACCTTCGACTACATATTGTAGACGGCATTCTTTTTGTAGAATATATCCAACCCAGTTTCCTTTTCTTCAGGATTGTGCTCAGTGAAGTCCTTCCTTCGCCCACTATTCTTAGGACTAGGCACATGCATATATTGAGTTGATTTATTGAAGTAAAACTTCTTTAGGCGCGACTAGGGTGTAAATCTGTGCAAATGCAACGGAAGTCCGTTATGGCAGAACTATACGTCATTCGCTTTCGATGAAATCATTTCGATACGGGTCGAATGTGAATAGTTGTCGTGTATGTGAATAAATACAAAATGTAGCATGTGTCAGGGTAAATTATTTGGACGACATGACACTTTCGAACTGAAATTCAATATTTATTATGAACATATATATATATATATATATATATATATATATATATAATATTAACTAGATTCATAGTTTTAACTTGTTATATTTCTTTAAAATTCAAAAGTTATTTTTGTCACCTCTAACTGAAATTCGGTAATCATGTCAACGAAATAAAACAAATAAACAATGGAAAATAACAAATATTTTAATAAAATTATAATCAATATTTTTATACAATTAAAGGAATCTTGCAATGCAGTTAAACCAGTGAAGCAAAGCTATTTAAATTATTAAAAATACATAGATAAAATCTACTGCACATTTTTTCCTATGATAGTGTGGCATCAAATCCCGTGAAATCCACATGAGATGTTTATGAGTCAAATAAAGTATTTTTGACTTATTTTCGTTCTTCTGACAATAGGAGTCGATACGTGCCTGCTGGTAAAGATCCCATGATGGAGCTTTATTTAATCTTTGTTAGATCTTGCTTTGATGACAGATCAATAAGTACTACTTTATCTGGTCCATGGCATCAATTTGATTCATACATCAATTTTATCATAAACGTAAGAATCCTGCCTCTTCGTTTTCAAGCATCTTCTTAGCAAAAACTTAACTTTTATCAATCGATGAACCTTCTGTCGGTGAGCCTCTCACGATTTCTTTTTATTTGTTTGGTGACTGCGATGAGATGAGCAACCAAGGTGGCGGCCTATGGTTGCCGCAGCTTCAACAATTCAATGGAGGACAACGAATCCCTTCTACACGTCGTCCAAAGCAAAAATTACTATTATTCGGCTTGGAGGTCCATCAACACCCGTTCCATCGATTAAATTTAATAAATTTCTGATTGCTTGTAGTTTTAATTAAATATTAGCCAATGGAAACAATGTAATTGTATTATACAAAAAATAGAAAATAAAAACTTGTTATAAAATTTTGGCATAATTACACTGTCGTTTGTTTTTTATTATATATTTTTTCT